ACTCACAAAAAACAGATTTAGTATTCATCAAAATTAATTAAAACAGTGAAATGCAAACTCAGAATATGACTCAAACCTGCAATAATTAAATATGTTAAATAACACAAATGTATCTAATCCCATTTTATTAACCAATGTCTTTGCTGCTGACCTTTGCTGATCCAGTTCAACCATACTATTAAGCAAAAATGACTTTAAATAAACTAACAATTATGCTTTGTTTGTTTTTTATTGCTGACGAGTGTTTCTTCTCCTGCGTTCTACTGTACAGACGTGAATTTACTTTTGCTTCAGCCTGAGGTTTATTCATTACACTTTTTGATGTGAAAGGGCTTTTATATTTGCTATAAATAGAACTTCTTATATTAAAAACAATCAAGCCCTGCTCATATTTAAAAAGTGACGCAAAAGTAATATAACGCATTACTTTCCATAAAAAGTAACTAAGTAACGTAATTAGTTACTTTTTTAGGGAGTAATGCAATATTGTAATGCATTACTTTTAAAATTAACTTTCCCCAACACTGTTGGTTGCTATGATTTGGAATATCCACGGCACTAACGTATTACTAGTAGGCTATCTCTTTTTGAAGAATATTACTGTATATATAAAATACAGTAACTTCTCAATTGTTGTTCAGTCGTTGTACAAGTAGACTGGTTGGTTGGTGTGGTATTTGTCCCGCCCCTCTTCCATTGATTGGACGGCTGGGTAAAAAGTTACCAGAGATTGTCTTATTATGCTGCGTTCAAGTCCTCCTGGGACATTCGTACTTACGAGTTGACAAGTCGTAATTACGACGTCAGGTGCATTCAAGTCAGTTTAGTCGGCACAAGATGGCGGTGTACCTTCTTTTAATAAATTACAAGAAAATACAACAGGGTCTGTTAACTCTGCTTATAGAAAATGAAGAGCAAAGAATTCGCATCAGATCTGTTTTGTGTTTTTAATATGTTTTTTTTAGACCAGGATCCCAGTATAACTGATTTTCAGCATCAACAAATGCTAAAATACAGAGATTTAAAAAAGCTGTTAGCTAAATGCAACATGGCAAATCAAAAGATTTTTCACCTATAGGTGCAAAAATTATAGCATTTTTTAAAACTTGGATTTCATTAACTAGCTGCGTAACAAGAACATGACCAATTTAAGTTTATAGGACAACTAAACTATCAATTTAAACAAAAATTTACCGTCAACTACAGACGTTGCAGCCATCGATTCCGCCATGTTTCTCAGTGACACGCCCCCAACTCGGAAACTCAGGGCTTAAAGAAAATTTCGAGTTTCCCAGAGTTTTACTGCAGCATCAAGTCTCAGTTATCATCTGCATGTTCACTCTGGAGAAAAGCCTTTTAACTGTGATCAGTGTGGTAAAATGTTTATTTCTTCATCACATCTAAAGTCACACCTGACAGTTCATTCAGATGAGAAGCCTCATGTGTGTTCGTACTGTGGAAAGAGTTTTAGACAATCATCAAGCCATCTCACTCATATAAGAAAACATTGCAAGCGAGCAACATTAATTTTCATGCCAAATACATTCAAGTAAATTGTCTGATATAAAATATAGAGTTTGTCTTAAAGGAACAATATATCATCTAGTTTTGAGAATGTGGCGGTGAAAACTTTTAGAACTATAGAAAGACTTAAGAGTGGAACTTCAGTCAACTCTTACAGTGTTAATAAAATGTTTTT